GAATAACAATAGCTAAAGTCAGAACAAGGTGTGTTGACATTGTCGTACGTACGAGTGCTATTTAATTACTAGTACATGTATATTTTAGTAGGCTATGCCATTGTTAACATCGTGGGGCAACAGTACATTCTAGATTTTCAAACATCAAATATATATTACAAAAGGGTAGAGACGTATTTCTGAAAACCTTCTTATCTTAGCTAAACACGATAACGGAAAACGTTTGTTATATTAATAAAGATGAATGGGACACCAAAAGGACGAGGGTCTTACATTAGACTTTGTCACTTTACACACGATCGACTACTATTATTTTCACCGGTTGTCTTTGTTCCTTCGACAGAAGCCTTTCATATTTTTTTAAAAGTAAACTATATTTTCACGTTCAGCCAAAATAAATTGAACAAAATATTCTTTTATTATTCTTTATTAAATTAATCTAGGCACTCGCATAAACAGGTTTTATTTTTGGAATTAGAATGAATAAAAGTTCAAGTATTGAATTAATATTAATAATATTACAAATGCCAAGAAGGCTCACTTCTAATGAAGAACATTAGAAAATAAAGTCTTACATCTTTGGAATGGAAGTTAATCAATGGAATCTAGGCCTAGCTTCCATTTGTCAGAGTTCTTGGTCTCTATTGTAATTTTACTCCCTTAGGTAAATTTTGCGTGAGTAAGTCAGTTACTCGCCAAACTCACGCAGAGTCTTTTTTGCATGAGTAATGGAGTACTCACGCAGTGATTCATCGTGGCAAGCACTGCATATAAATTTCAAACAGATCGGATGATAACTTTTGTCATTAGAGCATTCACAAGATTCAACAAAGTGAAACAAGGGCCATAACTCTAGATGTAATTAACGGAAATTGCTGAAATTCAATAGGCTTCTTTATTTTACTAATTTAAATGATGAATATAAATTTCATACAGATCGGTTGATAACTTTTGTCGTTAGAGCGTTCACAAGGTGCAACAAAGTGAAACAAGGGCCATAACTCCAGAAGAAATTAACGGAAATTGCTGAAATTCAATAGGCTTCTTCATTTCACTTATTTAAATGATGCATATCAATTTCAAGCAGATCGGATGATAACTGTTGTCATTAGAGCGTTCACAAGATTCAACAAACAGAAACAAGGGCCATAACTCTAGATGTAATTAACGGAAATTGCTGAAATTCAATAGGCTTCTTTGTTTTACGAAATTAAATGATGCATATAAATTTCATACAGATCGGTTGATAACTTTTGTTGTTAGAGCGTTCACAAGGTGCAACAAAGTGAAACAAGGGCCATAACTCCAGAAGAAATTAACGGAAATTGCTGAAATTCAATAGGCTTCTTCATCTCACCAAAGCAAACAACATATATCAGATGATAAATGTAGTCTGTAGAGTGTTCACAAGAAATTGTGGACGATGGACGGACGGACGGTGGCGACGGCAATATACGACCACACTAGAGCGTCCACAACCTTGATATACCATATTTTTACACTACAGTGAACTCTGTCAAATCCGACAACGTACGGGATCGTTACAATATGTCGGATTTCTCAAAACCGGAAATATTGTAACTTCGAAAACCGAAAGTATTATTATAATGTAGCTTCGAATCACCAGAATGTTATTCCCTTTAAAAATGATAAACCTTTCTGTACATTCAAAATTTTATTACATTAATTTTTATTTCATATAAAGACCACATAAGATTAAAAATCTTAATTGAATGTACACTACTTATAGCCAATGGTTACTATATCCATTTTCCGGCAAGTTCAAACCAATCTGATTAAAATTAATTCAGCTATTGAGGTTTAAGTATCAGAAAGCGAAAAACGTTTTTCAAATTTTCAATTACAACCTTAATCTGGTTGATTGGCTGGAGACATCACAGGCACTACACATACTATATACATTATCTATACAATACACACCACCAGTTGACAAGTGTGTACATGTTGGTCCAATTAACATGTGACTGGCATATTTTAAGGTGAATTTAAAATGCCGTAGATCCATTTAAGGTGCCATTGTTTAAATAGGCCCCGTGACAACTGAAGAAGACCTAAGCAATTTGCACATTTACCGGTAATTTGGATAACCCCGTAATACTTGATATCCCAAACTGTTCTCTATAAGTACAGAAATACAAATGGTGCCAGTCAATTGTCGATATATTCATTATTAGCTATATATAATAATAATAACCATTTCTATACACAAAGAACAACTTTTATCGCAACTCCATTTGAAATTCACAGCGAATATGGAATTTTCCGATGACCATGCATAGATCGCCCTCATTTTTAAGCCAATCAACGCTGGGAATCTTATTGCCATGTACGGTTCCATGCACTACGGGCGTAGTAACTGAGGTTAGATTGCATGGGATTCATGGACATGAATATCAATTACGCTTGATCATCCGCGGAGTCCCTGGTGCCGTTTGGTGAGTGATTAAACTGTCAATGCAATTGTAAAATACTTTTATTATAAAGAAGATTTCATATCAAGTCAATTAAATGTTGTTTAAGCGCCAGTCAACAAATAATACGAGGCTACTTGATTACAAAAACACCGGCGAGCAATAAGTAATGGGTAAATAATAATTATAAACAACTGATGAGTAAAACTTAATTATTTTATACAATTAATATGTGTGTGTTCGATTCTACCATTAGTTCAATCGTGGGTACTACGCACACGTTCCACCTAGATTGATGTCTTTGATAATTACCTAATCAGCATTCTTAATCCCACTAACAATCACTGCTAACACCAAGATGTAAATTAATTTATGACCCCCAGGTCGGTATAACTTTAGTCGGATTGATTAATTAATGATAGATATTAACGACACTACTTGTCATATTATTATCAATACACAAAGATAGTTAGATGACCCTTCTCAATCTGTCTGTTATTCCATTTAGATGGTTACCAACAAAATTTATTTGTACTGTTAATTCTAAAGTATATTGAGATATTTTTTCTTATTTCATTTTTACGGTCTATTTCAAAGTTATGAAGTCAAATCCGCCGTACAATGATAACGGATCGTCATTTACAAATCGCTTTTCAATCATGTTCGTTTTTTATGATACATTTTGCATGACCAAATCTTTTTACCCCTGTATTCTTTTACTCAGGGAAATTTGAACCACAATACTCTTTTGACGAAAAGGTATCTCAAATCGACTGGACTGCACATGATGTAAGAGGGTATTAAAATTGCTGTCGTGAGAAACGAGAGCGACTGTACATTATGAAACAAATTGGAAATTGGATCTTAAATGAAAATGAATTACAAAACAAATTATTCCGTAGTCAATTGTTTTATTTAATTAGGGGGATTAAGGAACCAGTCAGACGTCACTGGCGTCTGAGGGGATTAAGAGTGTTTTCGATAATTGGCAAAGTCGTTTTTATGGGAGGTCCATTTTAACGACTTTGAAGGAAGATAACTGAATTAATTTCAATCAGATTGGTGTGAACTTGCCGTAAAGTTGATATAGTAACCATTGGCTACACATATCCAAAAGTTCCCAAGCCCATCTTATGTGCACTTTAACATGCGTAGGCATTTTGAATAGGTCAAGTCTGTCGTTAATTTATCTTCTTTGCCGTCTTCAGTTGATCGCACTCTTGTTTTTGCTATCACGTGTTCATTGATAATGGGCGTACTCGAATGAACGTTCCGGAATTGAATTCTCTAAATCCCAAAAATAGTGACAATCGAGTGAAAATGGATAAATCGGGCTACAACGCATGCATCGACTAGATAACTCATCCAACCATGCAGTCGAAACCTGTTCGTCGTGTTTAATTATGTCACAATTCTACTCACACCACCTCCATCGTCGGGACTGACAGAACTGTGACAGGACTGAATTCCGCGTCACTCGATTGCAATTCTGTCAATTCGGGACGTTCCGGACTGTGAATAGAGCATCCCCAGGTCGTCGTCACACGGTTTGAAGAGATCCGTAGGGTGACCAAACTATAGGTTATTCAGGTTTAATTGTCATGCGCATTGAATGTTTCCAACGGGTGCTAGGAATATTTTTACGACTGTGAATTTGGGGGAAAATTTGTGGATATTTTTGAGTATTTGTCACAACTGTTATACAAGAGATTAAAATTATCAAAGTAATCAACAAAGACCCACGGTAGAGAGTTTTAATCTCACACATAATTGATTGGTGATGGCTTGTTAATCTTTTGTGGCTTCACGCCCATCGAGTTTTAATCTCACCGATAATTGATTGGTTAGTGTTTGCTTCACACCTACCGATTGAAGGCCGGATTATACGGTGTCGATTCAATGGAAATCATATGACGGGACGGCTGATTGGTGTCGTAATCCGGAATATTCAGAGGTCGAATTACCCAGAGATTTTTTGGCTGAAGTAATAAGGAAATAAATCGGGACATGAAAATGGTGTCGGATTTCACAGAGTGCCGGAGTGATCAGAGGTCGGATGTGACAGAGTGCACTGTATTTGCAAACGAGAAGCAGACATTTTTTCCGGCAGTTTGGGTCCGATTTTCACGAAATTCGAACTCTTGGATAATAAATGTGACCTCTAGAGGGACCACAAGCTACAATCAGTGGTCATAATTCAAGAAGTTATGACCCGATATGCACAAATATCGAAAGGAACCAAGATCTTTTGGTTATAAACATGGATTTCAAGTTTCATCAAAATCAGATGAAAATTGTGACCTGTCGAGTATCCACAAACTAAAAATGTGATTTTTTGTACAATCTGGGGCCATAATCCATGAAGTTATAGTGCGATTGATACCAATATCGAAAGGAACCGAGATTTTTGGGAGATAGACCTATATTTTAAGTTTCGTTAAAATCGAATAAAAATTGTGACCTGTAGAGTGTCCAGAAACAAATTGTGGACGGACGGATGGCCAGGGGCGACGGCAATATATGTCCACATGAATATGTAGGCGTATAAAAAGATAAAAAAAGACCAACCTGAAGATAAATATTTTACATTTTCTATGAGATGTTTTTCTTAATAAAAATCCACACAGATCAAAGTGTGATGACTCAGAATTAGGGAATGGATATGGTTCATCACATTCTTGTGTTTTATCTTCTACATAATCTAATATTCTCTCTTCTTCAAAATCATATGACCCTGAAAAAAATCATAAATATGTTTTTGGAAAAGGGGATAACACCGGAACGTATGGTTGTGGAACACTGAATATCGATAAGGTTCATCCCAAAAATCTGTTTATAACTGTAACCTCTATCACGCTCACAAGCCAATTGTTGATGGACCAACAGAGAGGTGATGGTTTGGCCACACTGAAATGTGGGCGCATAAAAATCAAAAAGCTTTCTGATCGTGGAGTACTAGCCCTACATAAAAGTATATATAATTATTATTAGAAACTTGCATAATTGAAGATACTTTACTGTTCCATAACAATAAGCAGGAATATATACAGGAACCATTTTAATGAGGTTACATATTTTGTAATGGATTTGGTTATAACAATACTTGCTAGGTCCTAATATACTTGCTACAGGAAAATAGCACTGTAAACATAAACAATTTTGAAATCATTTCTATGGAAGCCAAAACACAGCAAATTATACATATTTCTGACTAGTCTAGTATTATATTTCTGGGTCCTCAAAATTTTAAACATGATGATTTACATAAGTGTTTACGATATACTATCAAACATCTTACCATCTATGGAAGGAGGGAACATGACTGGAACAGATGGACCAGGATTATGAACAAATGATAAATAATATCTACAAGATTCCATCATAGTAACTTGTAAACATAAAGGATCTGATGCTCCAGTATGATATAATCTAAAACCACCTTCATGAAATACTATATATAATGTACGGTACCAGTGATACAGATAATCATCATCTATTTTATCTGAAACAGAAAAAAAACCCAGTCGATCATTTCAAAAGCAACTGTTAGGCCGCGGTTAACTAATTGTTTGTTTCTCATGACCTGCGTTTGTGAAATATACATGCTACATGAGGTAATTATTAATTATTGCGATGGAATTAAAAATTTTTGAGTTTATTGCTGTTTCTATTTCAGCAATAACTAATGTTGGTTACTTGGTCATTGGAAACCCAACGGTAACGGGCGTCCACAATTTATTCACATTGAATAAATTTTTATAGATTAAGATAACTGGAACACAATAGCCGGGCATCGGAAGACTTGATCATAATGATAGGTCTAAATTATTAGTGATATGCTTCTCAGTTAACCGTTCTTTAATTCATTCATTCTTGGTATTTCATTTCTTCATGATCTTTCCAGTTACTCTGGCAGGTTACGAAATGACCTGTTTCAATCAGGTTGATGATTTGTTCTGACATAAATATTTAAGATAGTCGCTAGGCAACGAACCATTCGCCCACACCAGCTTAATCGTCAGAGCAGTCGACAAGGGTTGTCACATATTTATTCCTTTGTAGGTAATTGGATTGGGGCCTTTACAAGACAGTTCCATACAGATCACATTATAATTTTTATCATTTGAGGGTTCACAAGATTTTACAAACTGAAACAAGGGCCTTAACTCTGGAAGTAGTCTACAGAAATTATAGAAATTTGACCGACTTTTTTGTTTTACTAATCTAAATAATGCATATAAATTTCATACATATCGGATGATCACTTTTGTCATTCAAACATTCACAAGGTTCACAAAGTAAATCGAGGGCCATAACTCTAGAAATTATTGACGGAAATTGCTGAACTACAATAGACCTCTGTTTCACAAATTTAAATGATGCATATAAATTTCATACATATCGGATGATAACTTTCATCAGTCGAGCATTAACAAGGTTGAACAAATACTGGGCGAGGTGGGGAACCTGTCTTATCAAACCTAAACCTATCGGGGAACAAATCCCATGAAATATAGTTACGAAATTAGAATTGCACCATAATTACAAAATTAGAATTGTATCATTGCTATTGGGGGATCACAGTGGCTAAGTGGGTAAGGCGCTGGCTCGCTAGCCTGGAGGTTGGGTGTTCGATCCCTGCATTGGCCGAGAAAGTTCATCCAGATTTTCCGGCGTGGTTTCCCCTTGTCAGTGATGCAGGGCTTGACAAGGACAGCTGTCTAGTCATTCGGATGAGACGAAAAACCGAGGTCCCGTGTACAAATTGGCGTGCACGTAAAAGATCCCTTGACAGTTGGAGTTCGATATAAGAGTAGGCCGTAGTGCCGCTGTCCGAGCAAAATTCAAAGAATTAAAGCATTTTTTTTATTGAATGAATTTCTGAACAAATTCTATATATAAACTCATAATAATTAATATTTTAAAAACTTACCCGATAACTTCAACCTGATAATATCCAATAATTATGAAAGTTCTACTTATCTATGAACACAAAACAATTCCTTCACAGCTATTCAAATCTATCCATGCAATAGCAATTCTTAATCATAAATAAGTAAGTGTGTACATGTATATTAAACATGGTATCAAACTACTCACTTGTTTATACAAGCATCTCTAAAATTAATACTGACAAGTCAAAATTCCATTTGTAGACATTTGGTCCTAATCAAAGATCTCCTTACTGACAGACATACAAAATCAATGTTTCAAATCTTAAAGTGACATTAAACTATATTATTTATAATCTGAGGACTGATACTTATACTTGTCTCTGTCATCTGAAATATTAACAAGACTGAAGACACTGGTATTATTTATTACCCATGCCAAAATCTATTCTTAACAATGGTAGGCCTGCTTGTAGCTTGTGTGTTTGTCACTGACCTTAATAGTTATTAAAGTGAAACAAGGACTCAGATTATAAATTTAATACTAATCCATACAGATCAGTTCATAAATCTTCACAAAGTTCTACAAAGAGACACAAGGGCCATATTTCTAGAAGTCATTAAAAGAAATTTAATAGGTTTCATTCTTTAACTAATCTATATGCATTTAAATATCATACAGTTTGAATGACAGCTTAATTCCAAAGAGAGTTCACAGGACTACAAAGTGAAATATGTTTTATATCTCTCAAAGTCATTAAGGCCCCCTTCAGACCGGGGTGGCATCCTTAGTGCGCTGCTGCTACCATACAGCGACCAGAAAATGCATAAGGTTGCCGGAAAATGTGAACACAATGCAAGAAAATGTCCCAAAAATTTACAAACTTGAAAAAAGTCAGATTCTCACAGCTTTCCACGTCAGATCGCAAAATCTTGGCGTTTGTTTTGAACATGCTCAAAACAAAGCTGTGACTCTGCAATCATTGGCGACCATGGAGACCACAGCACGATATCTGTCGTTTCCACCACGCTTTTACCACGCTCAGGCTTATGACGATCTTAACGCGCTGAGACCATTTTCCGTCGCCGTAGCAGCATAGGAAGGACGAGGGTATAACAGAAATTGTTAAAATTCAAATAGGATTCTTCATTTTACCAATTTTATAAATTTAATACATATCGGATGATAACTTTAGTCACACAGGATTCTACAATGTAAAACAAGGGCAATAACATTTTAAGTAATTAAGGGAAACAGTTAAATTCGATAGGCTTCTTCGTTTTACCAATTTAAATGAAATGGGGTTTAACGTCCTACTGTTTTGCTCCGAACTGGGCTAATGAAGACGGTTACCAATTTAAATAATGCATATAAATCTAATACAGATTGGTGAGTTCACAGGAATTTGCAAAGTGAAACAAGGGCCATAACTCTTGAAATAATTAATGGAAATTGTTAAAGATAGGTTGCCAGGCAACGAAACATACGCCCACAACAGCTAAATCGTCCGGGCAGTCAACAAGAGTTGTTGCATATTTTTACTTTTTTCGGTAATGAAACATTTATAATACACTAAAATCTGACTAAGAGCAACAACTCATGAAGTAATTATCAGAAAACCATTAGAATTTGTTAGTTTGTATAAAGTTCTGCCCCATGCTAACGTTTTGTATACAAAAATTTTAATGTCATGGATTAAGCTGTTCAAGACATAAAAATCCATTGAAAATCAATATACTTGTTCGTCTCAAGATCAAAGTGATCAAGAGCCATAACTCTGGCAGTAATTATCGGAAATCGTTGAAAATCAATAGGCTTTAGAGCGTCCACAAGATTTTTTGAAGTGATCAAGGCCATAACTCTGGCAGTAATTATCGGAAATCGCTGAAAATCAATAGGCTTCTTTGTCTCATGACCTTAAACACTGTGTATAAATTTGAAGTCAATCAGATATTAACTTTGGCCTCTAGAGCGTCCACAAGATTTTTCAAAGTGATCAAGGGCCATAACTCTGTAGTAATAATCGGAAATCGCTGAAAATAAATAGGCTTCTTCGTCTCATGACCTTAAGCACTGTGTATAAATTTAAAGTCAATCGGATATTAACTTTGGCCTTTAGAGCGTCCACAAGATTTTTTGAAGTGATCAAGGGCCATAACTCTGGCAGTAATTATCGGAAATCGCTGAAAATCAATAGGCTTCTTCGTCCCATGACCTAAAATACTGTGTATAAATTTTAGGTCAATCGGATATTAACTTTGGCCTCTAGATCGTCCACAAGATTTTTTAAAGTGATCAAGGGCCATAACTCTGGCAATAATTGTCGGAAATTGCTGAAAATCAATAGGCTTCTTCGTCTCAAGACCTTAAACACTGTGTATAAATTTAAAGTCAATCAGATATTAACTTTGGCCTCTAGAGCGTCCACAAGCAATTGTGGACGACGGAAAGCCGGCCGGCCGGCAGGACGGGGGCGATGACAATATACGACCACATTTCAATGTGGGCGTATAAAAAGCAATAGGTTTCTTCGTTTCACTAATCTAAATAAAGCATATCGTCGGTGGGCGATCAAAACCTCGTATATCGGATTTTATTAAGTTTTCAGGGGAAACAAAAAACTGTCTGCGGTCCCGGATTTTTTATTGAATGTGATTATATTTCTAATTTATGAACTAAATTGTGGAAAATTTAATATGGGAAGGTTATTTTTGGGATAATTTTAGGGGTTTATGTGCTGTGGCTATATACGACATTTTGTCTTGTGAAATGGCGGCGTATGTGATATACGACGTTCTGTTCACAAATTATAAGCCTGTTCTGAGTATATACGACGTTTTGTTCTTAATAACCTATTTACACAGATTATTTTTTAGGGTAATTTACCTAGTACAGTGAGGGGGGTTGGGATGGCCTAGTGGTCTAGAGTGCCGCGCTTCGACCTCTAGCTGGCCGGTCACCTCTGGCTTGCGGCTGTGGTTTCGATCCCTGGTGTGAGCGTATGTGGCATGGAGATAGGGGCGCCTTCTCAACCTCGTGGGTTTCCTCCGGGCACTCCAGTTTCCTCCCACTGCTAAAGACCCCTACGCGCAAGCGAATTATTGAAATTAAATTGAAACCATATGTTAGTCCTGAAATGACCTAGTTTGTGTCGAGTGGACGTTAAACCCCATTTCTCTCTCTCCCTAGTACAGTGACGGAGGCAGGATATTTTTTTATCGGCCGGGAGGGGGGGGGGGGGGTGCGGAGCAAATCGGGTGTCAGTCGTGGATTGTGAAGCTTATCTGCACCCGAATACAACACTCAATTTCATCAGCTGTAGCTGACATAATTCAAGGCAAATAACCCTGAGCCATAATATTCAAGACATAATTCAAGGTAAGTAATCCAAGGCTATAATATTCAGGACATAATTTAAGGTAAGTTACCCAGGGTCATAGCATCTACTACACAATTCCAGGTAAGTTGTCTGGTAAGTAAATAGCCTTGGATCGGTTCTGGTAGGTAAATATAGCCTTGGATAGGGATGATACTGAATACGCAACCTAAGATAAGATATCAAGTGTCGTGATATTTACTCCATAAACAGGAGTTATAAACAAAACCCAA